GAACACCTTAACACCTCCTGTTTTACTGCCAGAAAGTAAACGCAGACAAGTGACGACGGTACAGCAGAGCACGCGCACAGGGAGTGAAACAAGTGAGCCTCGCCACGAAAGAGGACACTGCCAAGCCACAGTGAGCGCGCAAAATGAAACCTTCACGTGCCGAGATCCCTTGGAGAACCAGGACTTGTGGCTTGATTGGCACGGTCACCCCCCCCCCCCCCCACACGGCCACCCCCCCACACTCCCCCCCACACACACCCCTCCACAGTCCTCCCACCCCAACACACAGTCCCCTACCCCAACGCTCCCACCTCCACTTCCTTTTAAATTATTCACTCTCATCCTGCCGGTCAATCCGCCCGCCCGCCCGCCGCTTTCTCGCCAGCCGGCAACAACCCCTGGGCATGCGAGCCGCCAAGTGCGCGAGAAACGAGCTTGGCTAAGCGAGGCGTCGCCTCCCTAACTTCCACGTGGAACAAACAACAACAACAATAATAACAACATCAACAGCTTGAACCTGTAACGCTCTGCCGCCACAGTATTCGCTCACTGTCGTAGAGAGCGAGAGAGAGAGACAGAGAGATATATGACGACTCAAGAGGAACCAGGAGGAGCCACGGACGAGCAGGATGGTAGCAAAGCCACGCGATGAGCCAGCGACAACAATTGTCCAAGATCTGCGATCCTCTGCCTATGAAGGTGTCAGCGGCCAATTAAACGAGCGTTTGCGTGTGACGGGGAGGAAACCGGAGCAGCCGGAGAAATCTCACGCGTGAGAGGAAGGGAAAAAAACCACCCCCTGTCCCACACAGACGGAACAAGTGGAGTTCCACATTGCCGTACCGCCTTCTCCAGGCGAACCAGGAAACCCGCGGTCTCATCCTGGGCACCCACTCATGGCAAATGGAGCGGGAGCTTCGCAACGTGATGTGCGCAGTGACTCCACCGTCCCTCGCTGCTGGCCCCCCACAGTGCAGGATTACAGCCAGCCGCGTGCATCGCCGCCGCCACAACCGATACCAATACCCCGCCACCCGCCTGTGCCAGGCCAGGTCACGGGACGGACCCAGGTGCCATGGGTTGGCTGACCTGAGATGACCGGTAGATGCACCAGCTGAAGCCCCTAAGGGCCACCGCCACCACCACCACCAGCGAACTGGCATCAATCACCCTTGAATCTCGTGCGGATGGATTTATGAGAGTCGGGCGTTCGAGCGATGGCCATTAGTTTCGCCCGGTGTATAATTTCGCGGACGGCTGCGCCACGGCACCTATTGTTGATGACACACTTTAAATGACCCCTTCTTAGGCCCTGTAGTGCACGGGTCAGCAACCAGCATCTCAGGGGCCGCATGCGGCTCTCTCTCTCTCTAGGCACAGCTTCGTGACCGTTATTTATAAAGGACCACCCTCTCGTATTCACCAAACACTGCATTGTGGCTCTTGAGATATTGAGGGTTTTTTGTTGTTGCTGCTTTAACCGAATTCGAATAAAAATTGCCTCTTGTTATGTTGGTGGCCGACCGCTGGCCCAGTCCCGTCATTGGGGAAGCTTCACGTGAGCTGGCGACGTTCTCGAGAACAGAAGCAAATACGGGGTGCTTCAAAAAATGTTAACACTTCTGACAATTTGCAACATTACCGCAAGAAGTGCTGCCTCCGGGCTCTGGAGACCACGTGGAGAAGATTCCAGGCCACGTGTTGACAATGATGGTGAACAAGTGGAGACTCTTTGACTTTTTGAAGCTATTAACGTTACATTTGTTATCATGTTACAGTGTTACTCTTTGGTTCTGCCGGTAAAGTCACGTAGAAAGAAAATAAATGAAATAATAGAATACGACGTTTCGATTGCAACACAAGCAGTCGTCATCAGGTAGAACTAAATTTAAGAGAGAGACAAAACACAGACACGGAGACACACAGACAGACACACAAGCAGAGAGAGACACACAACATAGACACACAGAGAGAGACACACAACATAGACACACAGACAGACACACAAGCAGATAGAGACAACACAGAGACACACAGAGAGAGACACACAACACGGAGACACACAGACACACAAGCGGAGAGAGACAACACAGAGACACACAGAGAGAGACACACAACACGGAGACACACAGACACACAAGCGGAGAGAGACAACACAGAGACACACAGAGAGAGAGACACAGACACAGAGAGAGACACACAGACAGACACAAGCAGAGAGAGACAACACAGAGACACACAGAGAGAGACACACAACACAGAGACACACAGACAGACACACAAGCAAAGAGAGACAACACAGAAACACACAGAGAGAGAGACACACAACATCGACACACAGAATCTCTCAAATGTAGTTCTACCTGATGATGACTGCTTGTGTTGCAATCGAAACGTCGTATTCTATTATTCAATTTATTTTCTTTCTACGTAACTTTACCCAAAGAACCAAAGAGTAATTCCTGCAGTCACGAAAGCTTCAACTGAAGTATGTTACAATGTATTATCCTTTATTTTCCCGTAAGTGTTAACATTGTTTTGAAGCACCGTGTACATGCAAGCGCTGAATTACTTTCTATTTATGTTCTTTAAATTTATTCATCGCAACTTGCTTACGTATTTTTTCTCTATCTTGCTGTTACGTAGTTTAAACAAAAGGATTGTTTGTTGATGTAACTTGCCGACGCCCCGTGCCCCCCCCCCCCCCTTACAGGACATCTGTGAAAAAGAGCTTCATGGGTCATCGGATTCCTCCAGGTTAAATACATATTCTGATTCTGCTCGGCATGTGTGTGTGAGTGCGCGCGCGTAAATTTAAGCAAGGGCGAAGCGATTATCCCATAGCATGCGCTCCGTCGGAGAATTATGGCGAATAATGAAATGAATACCAGCGCAGACAACGGGGGGGGGGTGTTGATTTAATTTGCCGAAATAAAATAATGTCGATGATGAAAACCTATTGTGCGATGGATTAAATGACTTTTCATTTCGCAATTGAACAAATGCGCATTAGCCGATTAGGCATGATGAAAAGGGCAATTGATCTCATCACTCACATCACCGTATTTTCATAATTGTACCATATGGCGGTGTATCTAACAACACGTGGCAAGAGCTACAGGTTTCCCCACGTGGTTACACCGTTCAGCACAACTCCGAAACTCCGACCGTCTGTTTATTGCACACATCACTGGCACGTACAAAGACAAAGATTCCTCCTACAGCCCTAACAGACTGTAGGGGCAAGTGCTGTTAGCGAGCACCTATGAAGGCTGGCACGGCACACGAGGGGGTGGGTGGTCAGCACCACGCCCGGCCGCCTTTGTCTCCCTAGTGACGATGTTGACACACCGCGCCCGGAACTCATTTAAGGCTGAGTCGACCTCGGGGAGAGCCAGGACCGGTTCAGATAATCATCACCCGTGTTGGACGTGAGTGGGAATCGAACCCCTACGGCTGGGTTCGTAGCGCAGCGTAGCGTTAACCACGACAATACAGCTCCCGACGGTCACGCACATGTTCACACACAAATACACCGGAGTAAGGCCCTACCAATTTAATCAATTAATATCAATTATTTAAGCTGTGACAACACACGCAACGTATGCCTCGGGCGATTCACGACCGCGAACTGGGATATAAATGATCAACTAATGAGGCAAGTGAGAGCAAACTTGATCTTGCTTATTAAAAAGCAACGCGCACAGTGCATCGAAAGAAGAATGCGTTTTAATCGGTGTCTATTTCCTGCAATGACATATTGATCGTAATCATGGACATTTACAAAAAAACAGACCAAGAGCTGAGATGTTACGGCATAGAAGCTTTGTATTCTGGAAAAATTTGTAAATGTCCAGCGCGGTCCACGTGACTTTGTAACCCCCCCCCAATGAATTGATTGCAAGTCCACCGTGCTATTCATTACACAGCATCCTTTCCTGCCATGGTGGATCTTGCTACGTAATCAAAATCGCATTGCAAGAATCGACTGCATCGAACGCGAGGAAGCAGTGTAAAATTGCTCCCATTTTTAAATCCGTTATATTAAGTTCACTTGCTTGCTTGCTTGCGCGCTTACGACCGTGCAAATCTTTCGGTCGTTTTTTAACCCACTTCCCGTGATCCAATCGAGCTGACATTTTGCACACAGACTCGTTGTGCGTGACAATTTATTTTCGTGAATTTTTTTTCCCCAAAATTTTACACTTTTTAGGAAAAAATAAATTATATTTAATTACCAATTGCTTAATGGTGGCAGGCAATCATCTGACCCATAGGTGGCAGCCATCTCAAGCCAGAGGACGAGAGGACTCTAGCCGCCACGCATATAAAGGATTTATAGTGAAACACTTTGGTTTTACGGGTTAATTTTTTAGTTTTTCGGCCCCACTTAAGATCTGTGAGAAATATTCATCAGGCCGACGCGCGCCTCGTGTGACGCGCGCTCATTCCGCTGATCAAAGCAAGGAATGATGGGAATGATGGCGATATGTTAACTACCTCGCCTGGTATGCAGGAGGTCGCGGGTTCGATTCCGGACCCTGACGATGCCTGCTGCTGTACGTTTAGAGTCTGTGTCTCTCTCTCTCGCTCTCCGTGGTGAGATGTTAACTACCTCGCCTGGTATGTAGGAGGTCGTGGGTTCAATTCCGGCCCCTGACGCCTGCTGTATATTTGGAATTTACGTGTCTCTCTCTCTCTCCGTATTGAGATGTTAACTACCTCGCCTGGTATGCAGGAGGTCGTGGGTTCAATTCCGGCCCCTGACGCCTGCTGTATATTTGGAGTTTGCGTGTTCTCCCCGTGGTCACGTGGATTTTTCCCAGGGGTTTACCCTTACACATTTCAAATCGACGTGCAATTTAGTGTATTTGGCTGCTGGTATGAATTTGCACGCGGTAAGCCACTTCGTTGAGCTATCATTCGTGATGTCTATAGCTCAGTGGGCCTTACTTGGTAATGTAAAAATAGCAAATATAATGAATCGACGCTTTCCTTACCTTGAGAAGTCGCCCTTTGCTTCCTGCGAAAACAAGAGACAAGTTGAGGGTAAGCGGTGGGCACACACCGAGCTGTGAGAGATGAATAACTCACTCGTGTCCACGTGATGATTGGTTCCAAGCTTACATGAAGATAAAGGTGCAGCCCTGAAATTTCCGCAGCTGGCAGAAGAGCCTCCCACTCGACAGGAGAGAGAGCGTCTCCCTAGGAGTGGAGTGTTTTCTCGATTTTATTTTTTCCATATTGGTTAACTTTACGATCCCACTATCCAGATTCAAATCCAGGTCAACAACGATGAAAGTGGTTCTTTGTAATATGTACCGGGCTTGGGCGTTCTCTAGGTTGCCTCAGCCTGAAATGAGTATCTGATGAACGACGGTTCATTTCCGCACTGGGAAGACAAAAGCGGCCAGTAGGGGGTTGCTAGCCAGACTATCCCTTGGTGTACCATGCTGGCATTAATAGGTGCTCACTAACAACACTTCCCACGGTGGTTTAACAGGTTAAACAGAGGACCTTTCTGTTATTGTCTATGCATGTATGTACATGCAGGTATGTATGTAGTGGGGCGCGGTAGTGTAGCGGATAGCGCGCTGCGCTACGAACCTGGCGAACCGGTTTCGATTCCCGCTCACGGCCAACACTCAGTGACTATTATCTGAACCGGTCCTGGGCCTCCCCTAGGTCGACTCAACCTCAAATGAGTACCTGGTGCGGTGTGTAAAGATTGTCACTAGGGAGACAAAGGCGGTCGGGCGTGGTGCCAGCCACCCGCTTGTGTGCCATGCCGGCCTTCATAGGTGCTCGCTAACAGCACTTGCCCCAACAGTCTGTTCAGGCTATACAGGGGATCTTTGTCTTTATATGTATGCACACACACGTGTGTGCTTGTCGTTGTTAATTGATTAGCGCGCTGCGCCATGAACCCGGCGACCCGAGTTCGATTCCCGCTCACGGCCAACACCAGTGACGAATATCTGAACCGGTCCTGGGCCTCCCCTAGGTCGACTCAGCCTCAAATGAGTACCTGGTGCGATGTGTAATAATCGCCACTGGGGGAGACAAAGGCGGCTGGGCGTGGTGCTGGCCACCCATCCCCTTGTGTGCCGTCCCAGCCTTCAAAGGTGTTACTCGCTGACAGCACTTGCCCCAACAGTCTATGAAGGCTACACGGGGTTTATTTTGCGTGCTTGCGAGCTTGTTGTGGGGAGCGGTGTTGCGGTGGTTAGCGTTCTGCGCTACGAAACCGACGACCCAAGTTCGATCGCCAGCATTTGGCTAAGGACAGCGGCGAGCGTTATCCGAACCGGTCCTGGGCTTCGTGTGGGTGTCAACATCGCCACTTGGGGAGACAACGTTGTCCGGTTTGTGGGGAAACAGCTGCTACCTAACGGCCCTTGCCCCATCACTCTCCGAAGCTATACAGAATTTTGTGCCAAAATATATTTCTGCTAAAGCTTCCCACGCAATGGGGAACTCGGTTCGGTTTCAAATCTCCTTCCAACGTCACGCACGATCCAGTTCTGCTTGAAGCACCCGAATGGTAAACTCAACCGCAGCACGACCGAATACTCTGAAAATAAACAAATAACAACTGCACGCACCCACCTGCGTGCACTGCACACTCTGCGCATCATGCACCTTGACAGGTTCTCATCATGCAAGATCTGATCCCAGTTGATTAATTTGCGATGTCATTTTTGAGCAATGGGATAGTTTGGCCAATGCCATTGACATTCACATTGAGACCTCCTTTGCCAGTAGCAAGATATGGTAATAGTCATAGGTAAAAACGTATTACTATATCTTGCCAGTAGCAACATATAGTAATAGTCATAGGTAAAAACGTATTACTATATCTTGCCAGTAGCAACATATAGTAATAGTCATAGGTAAAAACGTATTACTATATCTTGCCAGTAGCAACATATAGTAATAGTCATAGGTAAAAACGTATTACTATATCTTGCCAGTAGCAACATATAGTAATAGTCATAGGTAAAAACGTATTACTATATCTTGCTACTGGCAAAGGAGGTCTCATAATGTAAATGGCTCACCCCGAGCTCTCAATACTCTGATGGTGCGTTGTCTTTGTGTTGTGCGCCTTTTGGCGTCATCCGGTCCAACACCATGTGAGACTGGGCTCTAAGAAAAGCTGTCTCGGTTGTGGACCAATCAATTTCACGGACAGTGCATATCATTATCAGAGTTGTCTTTTTGTTTGCATTTTGACCGCAGGTATTGTGGTCTATGCAAACATGACTCCTTGTGAAAAAGGTGTCAGTTTTGTTGCCAATTAAAAGGGTAAAAACCTGTTACTACACCATTGATACTATTGCTTTTCTTTAGTTATGGGGAGGAGGCTGGGGGGAAGGGGGGGGGGGGATTATCCCGAGTCGGGAATCGAACCCAGGCCCTTCTCGCATCGAGGCACAGGTGGTTAAACCACCGCGCCACCATTCCTGCCTGGGCGAGAGACGCCACAGGTTGCCCTGCACCAGCGTCTTGGCCAGAGCTGCGTGCAGTTGTTGACTCGTCTATAATTCAGCGTGCGTGTCTGCAGAGTGCTCTTGAGCTTACTGCTGCCCATTTTTCCTTTTCTGAACTTGACGAGAGCATCTTCTTGGTTCTTTCGGTAAAGTCACGTAGAAGGGAAGTAATAAAATAATAAAAATAAAACATAATATATTATATTATTTTATTATGTTTTATTTTTATTATTTTATTACTTCCCTTCTACGTGACTTTACCGAAAGAACCAAGAAGATGAATCCCTGCAGTCACGAAAGCTTTAAATAGAAATTTGACGAGAGCAAGTGGCAGTCGAGGCATCGGTTGCTGATTATCGAGTGGGCGAGCGTGCGTTGTGCGGATGCCGTCGTTGCTGCTGCAGTTAGCATTTATGAATGCTTAACGCGTAGGCTGTCGCGACAAATTTCATCCGTAATGCATGTTTTTTTGTTGCATCGCGTAAATATATAAATGTGTCGTTAAACCCGCCACCACCCGACACAGCCAATTAGTAAGGGTTGTCACGTATGCAAACCGTGCCGATTCGTTACTTGTACAGCACACCGGTGTGTTGGAGAGCAAATCCACAACATTGACAATCTGAGTACGACGTTTGGCCAGTAATTACAGCCGGCATCGTCAAGCGGTAGACAGATTTATAAAACCGTAGAATAAAAAAACATGAACAAATGTAAATGTTTTATAAATATAAATGTTGTGGGTTTACTCTACCATACAAACATTACTAATTGGCTGTGTTGGGTGGTAGCGGGTTTAACGACAAATCTATATTCACGCGATCTGACCCAAAAATATCCATGATGGATCCTTATCTCGTGAACGTATAAACAAAAAGCATGCAATTAAATTTCGATTTAAAGCTTTCGTGACTGCAGGGATTCATCTTCTTGGTTCTTTCGGTAAAGTCACGTAGAAGGGAAATAATACAATAATAAAAATCAAACATAATAAAATACAATTCTCACGACGTTTCGGCCACAACGCAAGTAGCCGTCCTCAGGTAAAGAACAGGTCTGTCGGAAAGACAGCGTCCGAATAACGAAGAACAGGGCTGTCGGAAAGACAGCGTCCGAATGACGCTGTCTTTCCGACAGCCCTGTTCTTCACCTGAGGACGGCTGCTTGCGTTGTGGCCGAAACGTCGTGAGAATTGTATTTTATTATGTTTGATTTTTATTATTGTATTATTATTTCCCTTCTACGTGACTTTACCGAATGAACCAAGAGTATAAAAACATGCAGTCTGGATAGCGTAATCTGTGCCGTCTATAAACAGAGTTGACAAGTGCACGGTTTCCAGAGTGAACCGAGCACAAACCTCGTGTCTACTCTCGCAGCATTCAGTAGGATTCATGCCATAGCAACAATGGGTGGTGGCTGGGTGGGGTGGTGGCTGGGTGGGGTGGTGGCTGGGTGGGGTGCTGGGTGGGGTGGTGGCTGGGTGGTGGCTGGGTGGTGGCTGGGTGGGGTGGTGGCTGGGTGGGTGGCTGGGTGGGGTGGTGGTGGCTGGGTGGTGGCTGGGCGGTGCAGTGGTAACACTGCTGCCCCAGAGCAAAGAAGCACCTGGGTTTAATTCTCGACTGGGGTGTTTTTTTCTGTTTTGCATGCTGTCTCTCCTTGTTCTGCGTTGGTTTCCTCTAGGTGTCTCTGCTTTCCTCCGATAGTAAAAAAAACCCCATACATTTTCGATTTAAAGCTTTCGTGGCTGCAGGGATTCATATTATTGGTTCTTTCGGTAAAGTGACGTAGAAGGGAAATAATGAAAGAATAAAAATAAAACAATAAAATTCTCACATATTCTTGCCGTCGTTTTCACACCTGATCATGATTGCTTGTGTTGCAATCGAAACGTCGTGAGAATTTTATAGTTTTATTTTTATTATTTTGTTATTTCCCTTCTACGTAACTTTACCGAAAGAGCAATAATATGAAACCATACAATGTTGTCAGTATAGGCCAGATCAGTGTTCGGCAACCAAAATAACGCGAAAGAGCCAAATTTTTTTTTCGAATTCGGTAAAGGAAGACGAATATTTCACTGCGTTGTGTGAATAACGTCATGAAGCAACCCTTCAAGAGCCGGAGCCTCACGTTGCCAACCCCCTGGGCCAGATAAACATCGCAACTTTTAAAGAGACACATACCAGCAAATTATTCAATTGCGATTCACACAACAGCAACAACATCGCCCCCTACTGTGAAATCTCGGCAGGGATCCTCCTGAAGAAGAACGCTTCCTAGGTAAACGAGCGAAATCATAATAATAACAACGCCCAATAAACGAGATTTTGCCGCGATCATTTAAACGTTCCACAATGTGAATTCATACATCCACAGACTACGAGGCCAGTGTCCTGCGAATCCAGGTTCCTACTTTCGCTGACCATGTGTGAGCACGGGCACCGCGCAATTGCACGACAGCGTCCGTTCGCACGCATTTGCTGACCGGTGGACGTATGTTGAACTTCTTTCGCACCGTACGGAGCCAAACGTGCTAATCGGAGGTGCGGAATGCTTCGCGATCCAGAGGTCGACGGGGAACGCCACAGCAGTATCGATGAGCATGCCAGAGTCGAAGGTGGAGGTTGCGCGTGGTGGGGTAAAGCGTGGGTACTCCGAACGTCTTCCGAGGGCTCCCAGCCATCGAACAAAGACGGTCACTGCGTCACGTGGCCCTCAAATGCGCTGTTTTTGCGGCCGTCTGGAACGCTCTTCCATTCCGATATTAAGAAGCCACTGGAGCTAAGAAATTTTAAATCATCTAGATTGATAAACTTAATTCCTTCGAACTGCTTCTTGTGTTTAGTTTGTGGTTCTTCCCCCGCACCTCCGATTAGCACGGTTGGCTAAGAAGTACAACATACATACAAAGACCCCCCGTATAACCTCAACAGGCTGTAGGGGCAAGTGCTGTTATCGAACACCTATGAAGGCTGGAACGGTACACGACGGGATGGGTGGCCAGCACCACGCCCTGACCACCTTTGTCTCCCTAGTGGTGATGTTTACACACCGCACCGGGTACTCATTTGAGGTTGAGTCGACCTAGGGGAGGCCCAGAACCGGTTCAAATAATGGCCATTGGTGTTCGCCGTGAGCGCGAATCGAACTGGGGATGCTGGGCTTGTAGCACGGCGTGCTGACCACTACACTACCGCTCCCCACCTCTGTAAGAGTCGTGGTCATTCCAAACCTTTGCTTGCCAACCAGTGGAATGCGAACTCCGGATGGTTCCGGTATAGAAAGCCTTGGGGGAGTGTTCCGGAGAACTGTTGCAGATACTAGAATTTAGATGATAGTTTGAATTAATAAAAAAATTGTGTTATTGGTGCACGGTCGTTTCTGAGACAATGTTGAGGGTTGGCAGCGGTTTTGTGGGTTCACAAATGTGGTGAACACCCAATGGCGGAGCCACGATTTTCAGGTAGGGGGGGAGGCAACCCCTCCAGCAATGAAAAATGATAGAGTTGTTAGTAAGTAAGGACTTGTTCTATGCTTTTTATTCGACGCGTGTGCGGCGATGGCGCAGCCATCGATCGAGGGTCAAATTCGAACCGCGTCGTGTGATCGGCATCGCGCTCGCTGAAGGTGTTGATGCCTTCAGGGAAGTCGTGTCCTGTATACACAACTGCGCACAATTCTGTGAGTCACTTATAACCGCTTCGCCGTTACTTATTGCCAATTATGGACTCAGACTATTGTCCTATCATCTCATAGAGTCCCTGGCACATAATAATATGCTACACAGTGGCAGTGGGGGTCGCAAAATGCCGAAGTATTACTAATAAACCCAAATGATCCGATCTAAATTAGGGATTTCGATCGGATCATTGGGGGGGCACGTGCAACCCCACCCCCCACTGGCTCAGCCAGTGTGAACACCCATACAGGGGGTGCTCCGGTGTCCAGATATTCACTACCTCGCCTGGTATGGGTTCGATCCTGACCCTGACGCCTGCTGCTGTATATTTTGAGTTTGCGTGTCTCTCTCTCATCATCACGGTGGCTAGGAGATGTTAACTACCTCGCCTGGTAAGGAAGGGTTCGATCGTGGGTTCGATCCCGACCCTGACGCCTGCTGCTCTATATTTTGAGTTTGCGTGTCTCTCTCTCCCCGTGGTCGCGTGGACTTTTCTCTGGGCACTTTTCCCCCTCCACATTTCAGAATCGACGTGCGTTTAGAGTCGTTGGCTGCTGCTGTAACTTTCCACACGAAGATAAGCCACTTCGTGCGAGCCATCATTTGTGATTGCCAGGTCGCTTCTGAAAAAGACCTGGTATAGCTCAGTAGGCCTTACCTGGTAAAATAATAGTTTGTGGTTCAGTTTGAGTTTTTGGTCGCATTGCTCCCCTCGAGTTCCTCTCGAGGCCCTTCCACCAACAGTGACATTGAGTGCGAAATTGCAGGGCTGCGCTTTTCCCCCTCTCTCTTTAGATACGAGAAGTTGTTCTCGTGCAGTGAGCACGAGTGAAGTTATTATTTTCAATGTCATTTCCAACCAGCGTGCAGCTGTTATCGCAAGCGAACACACGCGCACTCGCAGGAAAAAAACACAGTTTGATCCGTGACTGAAAATGCGAAAGGCATTACATGTAAATGAGATGATGAACCTCGTGACAATAGCACACACAACAGCGGCTGTCAATCATCATAGTAATCATGTCTCCATGGGACTTGTGCCAGGCTAGGAGCACTTCGATGGCCATGTGGACATACAGCCATCTTATTGCAAGTACTGCTATGATACAAAGAAATGAGTGATAGCAAAATAACGGGCAAAGGTCCTCCATGTAACCTGCAGCCGACTGTTGGGGCAAGTGCTGTTAAGCGGCACACGAGGAGGTGGTCAACACCATGCCAAGTGGCGATGTTTACTACCCACCGCACCAACTATTCATTTGAGGCCGAGTCGACCTAGGGGAGGCCCAGGACCGGTTCAGATAATCGTCACTGGTGTTGACCGTGAGCAGGAATCGAACTCGGGTCGCCGGGTTTGTAGCGCGGTGCGCTAACCACGACGCTACCACTCCCCGCACACACACATATACCCGCAGGCTACAGCTTTTAAGCCAATTCTGCGCATCAGGTAGTGCATGAAAAATAACACACGCGTAGCACGGAGCACGCTGGGACATGCAGATTACATTTTTCACCCACAAATGTGAGTTCGTTAATATCGACCTCGTGTTGTCTTTGCACGCAATTGCCACGGCATGCATACGTCCACGAGATGCATACAAATAACTGAAGCCACCGGGCACACATTTAAACAAATTCTGTTGCATTTCGATGGGGGGAGGGGGGGAAACCGAAACGTCTGTGGGTAAAACACAAGAGAGACATCAAACTTGCTCCGCATGCGCGCATTCAGCAGGGAAATCGGACCACGAGCGAGGGGGCCGGTTTATCAAAAAAGAGAAAGATCCCCCGTCTAGCCTTCAAAGACTGTTGGGGCAAGTGCTGTCAGCGAGCACCTACGACGGACGGCACTGTGGCACGCGAGGGGGTGGGTGGCCAACACCACACCAAGTGCTCATTTGAGGCTGAGTCGACCTAGGGGTGGCCCAGGACCGGTTCGGGATAAAATCGTCACCGCTATCGGCCGTGAGCGGGAATCGAACTCGGGTCGCCGGGTTTCGTAGCGCGTCGCACGCTAACCGTTGCGCCACCGCTCCCCCCCACCACCACCACAACCACCACAACCAACAACAATAGCACAACCGTTTGCGTTGCAGAGGCGGCGAATACCTCTGGTGCATAACGACGTCTCGGCCGATGGGTTTGGGTTGAGATAAGACAAATCACGCGGACAGCGGAGCGCGCGGTCATTTTCTGTGAGCGAAATCAACCATCAGCGGACACCCTGTAGCGTGGAGAGGAGGAGGAGGGAGGGCTATGCCCCTCTATCGAGGGCTGAGCCCTTTAACACCAGTGACAATTCAGCTACGGTGCGTCGTAACCTCTCTGTGTTTATATTTTACACACACACACACAAGGAGAGATGGTAATAAGAGTTAGATTTCTCCAGCCAAATCTATAGCAGACACCAACAAAGAAGACCGTCTCGTTACCAATCCTGCGGTCGTGTGTGTGTGTTTTTTAGCATTTGCTCAAAGTTTGTTTGACATCCACTGCGTTGCGCCTCCCACCCCGAGTTATTTCTTTTGTATGCCCGCTAGACCCCCCACCCCCAGCCAGCCAGCCAGCCACCACCTCTCTCCCGTCCGCGTCTGCCGGCACCACCTCGAGATGAGTTCGTGCGACAGGTTGGAATGTGAAGAGAACGAGCGGGAAGGGAAAAGTCATCTCACCTGGAGGACGTAGGCGGCGAGCTCGAACGTCGTATCGCTGTCCACCTCTGTGTTTCCCTGGCTCAGAGGGAATAGAGAAGAGAAGAGAGATACACACACACACGCACACACACGAGTGAGTATGAACGCACGCACGCACCAGCTATCTGTGGCAGGCAACCAAAGCCCCAGTGCACATGCGGAGAGAGACAACCACCACCACCAACCTAACCAGCCCACACTCCACAGCTCTGCAGTGGAGGAATGTACCACTGCTCAGAAAGCACCGAGGGTGGAATGGACTGGAATGATGCGGTGGTGTTTGCGGTGGTCGTTTTCAAAGTATGTCCCGGTGCCTTTCTTTTTGGTCCAGAAATTGTGCACCAAATACGGCTCTCTTTTTTCCGACATCGTCATTGGCAACAACAGCGGTTAATCGTATCGGAGAATCGTCGGGATCGGCGGGGATGTTATTTGAAACTTACAAAGGTGCACATATTTTTTTTTGTAATGCACAAAAACCCTCGTGGCGCTTTAACAGTGGACTGGTCTGAACCAGTCACTGACCAGCACGGTATATATGCTTTTTTTTTAGAAAACACTTCATTCACCCTAAGGGAGGGATTGACAAAGAAAATCTGTACAATATTTTATTTATTTAAAGACGGGTGGGGGGTGGAAAGGAAAATTTGCCCGAATAAAATGTCTCGCACGGAGAAACTTTAATCATTTTTTTTACTCCTCTCACTTATCCACAATTCAGGTGTTATGGGTTAGATCGCGTAAATATATAAATGTGTCGTTAAACCCGCCACCACCCGACACAGCCAACTAGTAAGGCCTGTCACGTAAACAGAACGTGGCCAATTCGTCACTAGTACAGCACTAGTGTATAGTAGTGTAGTGTATAGTGTAGTGTATAGTAGTGTAGTGTATAATGTAGTGTATAGTGTAGTGTATAGTAGTGTAGTGTATAGTAGTGTAGTGTATAGTAGTGTAGTGTATAATGTAGTGCATAGTAGTGTAGTATACTAGTACAGCACTAACCGGTGTGTTGGAGAATAAACCACAAGTTTACACTCCGAGTACGACGTTTCGCCAGTAATTACAACTAGCTTCATCAGGCGACGGCCAGAGTTGCGATAAAAATGCTCCTGTTTAGTTCCTTAAATAGATGCGTAGATGTGACGCAGCCTACGCGTTAAACGTCTCTCGCTTTAGTTCCAACAAAATATTGCGACGTAGGAGAATAAAAAAGTCAGGTTGTGTTGACAAACATAATGCATTGCGGGGGTGGAGGTGGGGGTGTGATACATTTATGTATCTCTTTGTTTCACCACACGTAAATGCTCGCATTATTTCAAAACAGCAGCGGTGGCGTGGAGCAGGCACGCGTGCGTCGTGACAACTGGTGGCGGAGTCAAGAAGGGGAGCCTTTTCCCCACGAATATTTTTTAAATATTTTGAAACGAGCTCTCTCGAGTTTTTTTTTGTGAACAACGAGATATGACGTCGTTCAAACAAAACAAAGCGACGCGTGCAACGCCTTCACACGCGAACGATGCCTACACATCATCACATTCTTTTTTGTTGCCTTTAAAGTGATCCTTTCTGAGTGAAAATTAACGCGTTTCGACCCCGCCGAATTCCACCACAACTGTCAGCGTGCCCAGCAGGATGACTCCGCTGTGTGTGACACAACTCGTACCGGTCTAACCTGCTTTGTAAAATAATGCAAGAACTTACACACAGCCTACACAGACACACAGCCTACACGTACACACACACACTCTACACACCACACACACACACTCTACACACCACACACACACCACACTCCACACACACCACACACCACACTCCACACTCCACACTCCACACTCCACACTCCACACTCCACACTCCACACTCCACACTCCACACTCCACACTCCACACTCCACACTCCACACTCCACACTCCACACTCCACACTCCACACTCCACACTCCACACTCCACACTCCACACTCCACACTCCACACTCCACACTCCACACTCCACACTCCACACTCCACACTCCACACTCCACACTCCACACTCCACACTCCACACTCCACACTCCACACTCCACACACCACACTCACACACACATACACCACACACACACTCCACACACACCACACTCCACACACACCACACTCCACACACCACACTCCACACACCACACTCCACACACCACACTCCACACACCACACTCCACACACCACACTCCACACACCACACTCCACACACCACACTCCACACACCACACTCCACACACCACACTCCACACACCACACTCCACACACCACACTCCACACACCACACTCCACACACCACACTCCACACACCACACTCCACACACCACACTCCACACACCACACTCCACACACCACACTCCACACACCACACTCCACACACCACACTCCACACACCACACTCCACACACCACACTCTACACACCACACTCCACACACCACACTCCACACACCACACTCCACACACCACACTCCACACACCACACTCCACACACACTCCACACACACTCCACACACACACCACACTCCACACACACACTCCACAAACCACACTCCACACACCACACACACACTCCACACTACACACACCACACTACACACTCCACACACCATACACACACACTCACCACACCAACCACAGCCCCACCACACTCCACACACTCACCATACCAACCACACCTCCACCACCCCACACCCCCACCACACCCATCACACCCACACACCAACCACACACACACCCCACACACACCCCACACCACCCCCCACACACACCCCACACCACCCCCCACACACATCCCCCACACACACCCCCCACACACAAACACACTCCACACACACACACCCCACACACACACCCCACACACACACCCCACCCCCACACACTCCACACACAACAAGCCCTGTTGCGGGTTATCTGCCGTATCGAACACCGATAAAGGCAGCCACACTGCATTATCACGAGCAACAATGAGAGACAATTAAAAGTACGTGAATAAAACAACAGGTCTAGTATTTGTACAACTGGCACTAATCAATGTGTCATTACGTTGGCATTGATCTGTTAGGACTCGAACCGTGGTCCCAAACCCCGGCACGGCACAGAGAGAGCCGGTGGCAACCTGGGTGACTCGCAGCCACAACTGCCCATCGCGTCATGCAGCGTTGGCGTAACTCGCTAATGAACAACAACAACGACAAGTATAACCCGTAAAAACAAAGTTTTTCACTACAAATCCTTTATATGCGTGGCGGCTAGAGTCCTCTCGTCCTCTGGCTTGAGATGGCTGCCACCTATGGGTCAGATGATTGCATTGCACCATTAAGCAATTGGTAATTAAATATAATATTTTTGTCCTAAAAAGTGTAAAATTTTGGAAAAATTTTTTCACGAACATTAATTGTCACGCACAACGAGTCTGTGTGGAAAATGTCAGCTCGATTGGATCACGGGAAGTGGGTTAAAAAACGACCAAAAGATTTGCACGGTCGTAAGCGCGCAAGCGAACTTAATAAAAAATAACCCGTAAAAACAAAGTTTTTCACTCTAAATCCTTTATATGCGTGGCGGCTAGAGTCCTCTCGTCCTCTGGCTTGAGATGGCTGCCACCTATGGGTCAGATGATTGTCTGCAGTATTAAACAATTGGTAATTAAATATTTAATTTGTTTTCCCTAAACAGTGTAAAATTTTAGAAAAAACATTTTCACGAACATTAATTGTCACGCACAACGAGTCGGTGTGGAAAATGTCAGCTCGATTGGATCACGGGAAGTGGGTTAAAAAACGACCGAAAAATTTGCACGGTCGTAAGCGCGCAAGCGAACTTAATATAAAGGATTTAATAAAGGATTTAAAAATGCAGATCATACCAATGTGCTGCAAATATATTTCACGGGCAGAGAGTTACGCGATTACATTGGGACACGCAAGCGAAAAGGCCGCCGAGACCAACCGCTCGCACGAAGCGCGAACCACCGGGTGACACAGCCAGCCCAAGCAGAGATAGGGGTTGGTGAACCACGAGGACGCGATCATCTCTGCGCGTGTTAGAGGCCGCAACAGAACGTGAAGGGTCAACTTCAAGGGACAGTGCATACATTATCAGAGTCATGTTTTTTTTGTTTGCATTACGACTGCAGGTATTGTGGTCTATGCAAACATGACTCCTTGTAAAAAAGGTGTCAGTTTTGTTGCCAGATAGAAGGGTAAAAAAAACAATGATCAATTATCAGAACGTGAAGCAGCGAGTCGGTGGTCGTTCATCTCTGCACGGGACATTTCAAAAATCGGGATCTCGATTTCAGACTGGAGGAATCCGATGAGCTATGAAGCGCTTTTTTTCCACCCCCCCCCCCCCACACATGCCCAGTGTAGAATCTGTTTCCGTCGCTTCATATCTGCTGTGCCAATAGTACCCCCAACGGGAAATTCGTCGCGCGTTTGCTGCGATCATCTCCGCAGAGCGTGGAGAAGTCACGCCCCTGAAGCGTCGCATTTGCGGTTTGCGATGCGATCGTAGAATAGATTGCGTGCTCCCTGCCCCATGTCGACTGTGACGATCATTTGTGGCGCACGTCCTCATTTGTATCGGCCTCCTCTGGTCCGTTCCATCTCGGCTCTGTTATCGTTTCGGTGCCATCTACTTCGTCTCCGTCTTGGTTGCCGATTGGGCCGTTGTGCATTGCCCCGTCTCCGACCGCTCATTCTCATTTCCTCCGTAATCTTTGAATATCTACTTCACTGCATGATATGCAAATGTCACGCGGAATGCATCGTCCCGAAGAATGGAACTTCGCTGATAAAGCGATGCGTGCCTATTAGAGGTATGCATGTTGAATTTCTTTCGCACCGTACGTAGCCAACCATGCCGAACGAAGGTTCGGAGGAAGATACCAATTCGGGAGGAAGAGCGTTCCAGACGGTCGCAGAAGTGCATCTGAAGGTGCGCGAAGCAGTGACCACGTCTTTATCTCGATGGCTGTAGTGTGTTCATGAGTAGAGTGTAACCTGCACAGTGTAACC